GGAAAGAGCTACGATTACTTGGTTATATTAGGTGGAACATTTGTATAAAATCAGTGCCCTGTTGCCAGGTATCAAAATGGAAGCAACGATACACAAGTGTCGTCTTCCGGAATTTGACATGTACCCGGAGTGGTTTTTAGGTCACATAATCAATATTTATAGGAGGCGGGGCAATCGATCGGCGTCATTGTTGACATCTCTCTCTCTCTATCCCTCTCTCTCTCCGAAAATTCGAATACGTGTTTAGCATATAACAGCGATACCAATATGAAATTATTTAAAAAGTTTGATGCCATGCAAAATTAAAACAAAATTTAATTTGTTAAATTCTGAAAACAGCAACCAAACGCGCTCAAAGACGTGATTTAGAACGAGGTCAGGTAGTAGAATACAATGTAACTGTTTTCACGAGTACACTCACAGGTGGACATCACGTGATGAATTGTAATATTTAACAAGTCAATCGCAGTCATAACAATGGAAGCGAGAAGTTTATTTTGAACATGTTTTTTGTAAAATTAAGTGTGAGCGCACGCTTGTCGGCACTTCTCCTTTTAATATAACATTATTTTGTTCAATATACAACTACAGTTTTCTTAAGAATAGCCAACAAACATGCGCTGACTATGTATTCAGACGATGAAAAACGCGTGACCCTGATTACCTATTGATATTCAAGAAATCTTCAGGTACCATGACTTCGATATTTGTTAAGTTTACCCAGAAAAGAGCGTTTTAAATTCCCATCTGTACCATAAATACACGGTTAAGATATCAGGGGTTTAATGATAGAAAAACATAGGTAATCAGAAATTACAGAGCTCACCTCAACAAATGTTGTCTTTAAGTAAGGCAAAGTCACACAATTCACCAAAAAAAAGTGTACATCCCAAAATGAAAATATTTATGCAACTTTGATCTGATACTTTGGAATAGAGCTATAAAAAAACTTCAAACTAGTTCCTTTTCATGAAAATGTAATTAAAATCCAGCATCTGAAGCAAATTTGAGAGTTTTCATCCCTTGATGCATCATTTGTGCAAGTTTGGTTTATACAATGTTATATAAGCCTTGTAGTAATATACCTGCACCCATAACTTTTACCTGGTCCATTATCTGAAAAATGTATGTCTAATTCAGCATCCGAAGCAAGTCCATTAGTGTGCATCCTAAGATGTATCGTCCAAGCAAGTTTGCTCATTATAGGGCTCATAGTTACTTGGAAATGAAACCTGGACCAAAAACTTTCACCTGTTCACTCAACCGGAAAATGTACGTCAGATTCAGCATCCGAAATAAGTCTGGTAGTATGCATCCTTAGATGTACCATCCATGCAAGTTTGGTAATAATAGGGCTCAAAGTATCTTGGAAATAAGAACTGCCCCTAAAACTTTAACGTGTTCACTCAACCGGAAAATGTAGGTCAGATTCAGCATTCGAAGCAAGCCTGGTAGTATGCATCCTAAGATGTATCAAACCTGCAAGTTTGGTCATTATAGTTCTCATAGTATCTTGGAAATGAGACCTGCACCAAAAACTTTAACCTGTTCACTCAACTGGAAAATGTAGGTCAGATTCAGCATCCGAAGCAAGCCTGGTAGTATGCGTCCTAAGATGTATCATCCATGCAAGTTTGGTCATTATAGTGCTCATAGTTACTTGGAAATGAGACCTGCACCAAAAACTTTAACCTGTTCACTCAACCGGAAAATGTAGGTCAGATTCAGCATCCGAATCAAACCAGGTAGTGTACATCCTTAGATGTATCATCCATGCAAGTTGGTCAACATAGGGCTTATAGTTCCTTGGAAATGACACCAACACCAAAAACTGCACCAAAAATGTTAACCTGCTCCAAAAACCTTAACCTGGTCATTCCTTTGCTGAAATTGCAGCATCTGAAACTTTGACTGGTACAATGAAACACACTAGAAGCATCTTCCATGCATGTCTAATCAATATAGGACATAGAAGTACTTTAAAAGAAAACTGCTCCAAAAAACTTAACCTGGGACGCCGACGCCGATGGGGATGCCGAGGGTATTTCATAAGCTCCCCCAACTTCCTTGAGGTGAGCTAAAAATAAACATTTTATGAAACTTAAATTTACGGATTTTTTTCTGACCAGTTAAGTCCACCCATTCTTTGTCAGGTTTTTTATTCAAAATTTTTAAAAAATTATTTAGTTAAAAATTTAAGATTTTTTAAACACTTGGTGATGTACAGTACCCCCCAAAAATTGAAATATTTTGCAATCTTAGAATTTTCATAAATTAATCTTTAAACTGCATGATTTACTTTGGCATTTTGTACAGATTGTCAGAACAAAATAATTAAGAAATGGAATTTGACACAAAATACTAGTACATTAAAACCTTGCCAAATGTTAAAATGATACTGTCCCTGTATATCAAGGGATCTTACACGCATAAATGAGAATAAAATTTTACATTTTCAGTTTGAGTAAATTCTGTAAGAATTTCTACGTCTGAGTCACGAGTAAAATATTAAGACTTTTATTTGTAATTATTATTGTTAGCTTAACATCTGAGATTTTCAGTTTGAGGAAATTCTGTAAGAATTCAACATTTTTTCATAAAATTATATTGGCCTAGATATAGATATTTGCTTTTGTTTCAACGGGGAACCCCTCATTTAATATTGAGGCTGCCGCACAATCAATTTTCAATCGAAAATAATAAAACACAAATATTTTCAAAAGGGACCATGCTTTATGCCTCTTAATGCATGTGATCTCAAACGCATGTGTTCCAGCAGCAGCACGTTTCTCCACGACTTTGCTCAAATATTCATTGTCCGGGACGCCATTACATGACACTATCCAAACTTCCATGAAACAAGAGGCACATGGGCCACATCGCTCACCTGAGCACATGGGCTAGTTAAAAACACAAATCAGCTCGATTGAAAAGTTTACTTGTTGGGAGAGGGGGGGAGGGGGGTGGGGTGGGGTGAAAATTTTATTACTTGAGAATGTCACTACATGTATATCAATAAAGCATACATGTATAATTTTGTCATACTTCAGAATAGAAGTTTTAAAAAATTTTCCTATACATTCCTATGTAAAGATTTGATTGCCCATTATGGCCCCACACTACCCCAAGGTAGTAGCATATCATCAGATTCAGAATCAGTGTCCAAGAGAAATGTCATAAAAAAAGTTATTACATTTTTGCTGTGCAGCAATGGACGGGGCCCAAAGTTGTGTTCATTTTATTATCTTATAAATGATTGCACATATCAAAATATAAAGGTAGCTATTAGTATATAAAATTTTGTTGAAAACTATCAATTATTAAAGATCTTATAGTACATGTAGTTGTGAAATTACTTTTGGATCAACTTCACATAACAAATGGTGAAAAAGTAAACTACACCTGGTGTACCATTCCATCAATATTGCTCCAATACCTGCCAGGCTTGTCAAGATATGAACGAGAGATTATCAAGTGAGCAGCCATAATGAACAGAATGATTTTTCTTACAGACACCAAAGACTTACCTTATATAAGAGTAGGTCACATTAATCCCTAGAAGGTAGACTAGTGTTTTAGTTGATTCCTGTGTACTGTGGTCTGTTGATAACACCCTCCTCTAGATAGCGTTATCTCAGTCCTACTGATAACATACCACACTCCCAGCTTCCTGGTATTGACCTTAACGATTTACAGAAATTCATATCACAACAATTTCTTATCAAGCATAGTTACTGAAGGTGCAACAAAATTGTACAATGCATGTGCTTTACTTTCTAAAATGTGTAACATCAACTTCAGATATTTCATTTGTGCAAGTTCTTAAAGTTTCCTTTATTATGGTGCGATTACCGTACTAAAACTTTTGCAGCTCGACTTTTTTCTGATTTCGTCCTCCAATTTTTAATCATTTCATTTATATAGCTAGAATCTTTCTTACTCTTAAAACTTTCAAAATCAGTTTCAAAAGTACTTTGAGCTTCTCAGGTTAAGGCCAATTTAGTCCCACTTTGAACCAACTCATTTGGCCTACAGTATATTAGGGCTTTGTATGCCCTGATTTTCAAGATGTCGCCTGGAAGAGATTGTTACACATGCAGAATGTTTGAATTTCTTACCTTGACCTTAAAATCCTTTGATCTTAAAATCAACTGGGGTCTTTATAGGTCTTGGGGAGTTTTGGTATAATAATTTCCTTACAGGTGGATGAAGCCTTCAAGAGATATTACATGCAAACAAGTGTTACACACAGACAGAATGACAAACAGATGAGTGGACAGACATACCAAAATTAAATGCAAACAAGTGTTACACACAGACAGAATGACAAACAGATGAGTGGACAGACATACCAAAATTAATAAATTTCCCTTACTACTAAAGAAAGCAGGGAGGAAACAATTTCACTTGCTCATTGTTACCATGCACTGTCTTTGTCAGCTAAGTATACAGAGAAATTATACTGGTTCACTATATATGATACTCAAGCACCAATAAAATCATTGCTTGTTTTGATCATACCGAAAGTTTGACTGCAGAATTTTGAAAATTAAAATTACTTTGATGGGTCTTTTTTCATACACCCCCTGGCATAATATGAATCTAAAAAAACCTGTCCTCTTTAATTCTGTGTTGCTGTCTACCCAAATTTAATCCTTCAAATTGGTTCAGCCATCCCAATCCGTTTATGTTATTGTTACATAATAAAATATATTCAAATCAAATATTTAAAATCACTCATTGTTTATTGTTCAGGTTTCACCTAGTTTTATCCCTCATTATTATATTACTGAGTTAAGGTAAATGAGAGTCAAATGACCTACCTGGTACATATACTTGCATGTGAAGTAAAATTTTAACTGTACAAAAAAGTCATTTTTCATTAGAAATTTTATTGTGATATTAAGAAATTTTGCAAAATAGTTTAAAACAAAGCTTGAAAAAAAGTGCTCAAAACAATAATAATTCTCAATGACTAGAAATTGTTAACAACACAAAAGAACTATTCCATTTTATTACAAACAAATATGTAAATCAAAACAGATAAAAATGGACTTAACAATATAATGTTAAATAATTCTTTTAAAATATAATTTTCCTAAAGAAATACAAAATTCTAGAGAGGCAGTGGATTAAAAGCATTCAAAAATTGACAAGATCAAAATGTTTAACTAGAACAGTTCAAATGAGGGCCTCACGGAGATTCCTCTTCCACTTAGAACAGACCAATACTGTAAACGTATTACATTTAGCGGTGTGTTTTATTTAGCGATTTTTGCGGAAAGCAGAGTCCGCTAATTCAAGTACATCGCTAAATGTCTTGTATATTAACTTTTATAACTAGCAAATTCAGACAGCGCTAAATCAAATCCACACTAACTTGTTGAAAATTGAATTTCCGCCAAATATCGTACACGCCAAATATAATACATTTACAGTATCTTATCACAGATGATGCAATAAATAATGTCATTAAATGACGAAGCAGAAAATGGTAAAATAAAATACACATCTATAAGTGACATTTTATCAATTATTTTCATATAATGTGAACCAACTTTTCTTCAAATGCAAGAAATATCTGAAAGTTTTGCAACTTTCTTTCTCAAAAAATTCAAAGCAATAAATCATTAAATATTTTTAAGTGTAAATATATCTATGCATCATACTTCCTCATATGCATAAACTAAAAATAGAGACATTTCAATTTTAAACTGAGCAAGAGGCCCATGGGCCGCATCGCTCACCTAAGTATCTTTGGCCATGTTGTTCTTCGCCAGATTTCCCCTTGTAAAACCTATTTTGACCCACCCTACCTCCTGGGGTGATGATTCAGATGATATGAAATCTACACTACCCCTAGATGCATATAAGTTTTAGCTTTTCTGGCTCAGTGGTTCCTTAGAAGATTTTTAAAGATTTTTTCAACTTATTTCATTGTTAAACTTGATTCACTGTTGTGGCCCTGTCCTAACCCTGAGGGTCAAAATTTGACCAATATAAAATCTATACTATCCCAGGATGCTTCCACATAAGTTTCAGCTTTTCTGGACCAGTGGTTCTTCAGAAAATTTTTCTCTAACTCCACCTTTTTCTTGATTATCTCCCTTGTATTCAGAAAATCAGAGCCAGGAAAGCTGACTTGAGCTTTCAGCTCTGGTGAGCTAACAATTGAAAAATATGCTTTCAGAAAGTTGGTTTACAGCATTTACTTTCAAATGACTCACAATAAATATTAACAAGAATAGTAACCAAGTCATATAGGACCCCACAGAAGCCTTATATCAATAATCTAGACCTTTCAAAAATTTGCCTTGATATATATTTTTCTCATTTTAACATATAGTAAATAAGTCTGCATGTTGAAAGAAATTTTGTATAATGACTATTTCATGGCACATAAAAATGCAAACATTTTTTCTTTTTGAGCAATTGCATCTCTTAAATGTAAAAGCCATATCAATAGTTGTGTCACAGATTTGTAATATTTAAATTTTTTTTGAGATTGATCACCGTTTGTTTTTCTACATTTTTTAACATTGTCATGAATAATAGGGGAATACATTGTCTAATTAAGAAGGAAAATACAATATGGCTGATTAGCAATATCTGCTTGCATTTTGCAATAAACAAATTCTGATCAAATATTTTGTAAGGATTTCTATGGAAAAACTTTCACTACATTTTGGGAAAATATAAGCATATTTTCAGCCTAGAGGTTTTGCTCAAAACCCTGAAGGAATGTCCAATGGAATTTGTTTATTAACATTAAGCTGACTGGAAATAGAAATTTATAGCTCGACTGACATCATAATCAGCAGCTAATGCGAACTGAATGAGGTCATCCTCTGGTACGTCATCTCCAATCACAGCACGGAGGGCGGAGATACACTCAGCTAGCCGGGCGTGATCCGTGCCTACTCCACCGTACTCGTCAAAACAGGAGGAAGACGACGAAGAGGATGAATACCTCTATAAAGTAAAGACAAACTTATTACACTCACAGGCTTCCATAGATAGTCATCCTGACAGTATGGTCAATAACTTTTCAGAAGAAATCAAGTTGTGTCCATCTTCAGACTGATCATAACAATAATTTGAACTCACAATTCTAATGAAAACTAATTTTCAAACCCTTTGTTGAAATACGTAATTATAAAGTATTTTGACAAATGTAGTTGTGTTACCGATTTATGACTTTTGGATCAAATACCTAGAATGTCTTAAAATTATTCTGTTCTTCTTTAAGTGCATTCCACGCAAAGTTCATGCCATGCTTAAAATTCTTTGTAATTTTCCAATATCTTATGTAAGCAAACACTTTAAACAAGAAACAGTAAAATTATAACTCTCTCAAAAAAACAAAAATAAACAAGAACAATTTCTTTCCCACCACCTTCATGATGAAGGGCCTGTACAAACAGGTATTGGGTAAAGAGCCTCTGTCTGGCTCACTTCAGACACCTGACCTGAGTCACCTGTTGTACAGACCCTGGGGTATAAGTAAGACTTACCCTGCTGCTAACCACCTGACCTGAGTCACCTGTTGTACAGACCCTGGGGTATAAGTAAGACTTACCCTGCTGCTAACCACCTGACCTGAGTCACCTGTTGTACAGACCCTGGGGTATAAGTAAGACTTACCCTGCTGCTAACCACCTGACCTGAGTCACCTGTTGTACAGACCCTGGGGTATAAGTAAGACTTACCCTGCTGCTAACCACCTGACCTGAGTCACCTGTTGTACAGACCCTGGGGTATAAGTAAGACTTACCCTGCTGCTGACCACCTGACCTGAGTCACCTGTTGTACAGACCCTGGGGTATAAGTAAGACTTACCCTGCTGCTGACCACCTGACCTGAGCCACCAGTTGTACAGACCCTTGGGTATAAGTAAGACTTACCCTGCTGCTAACCACCTGACTGAGTCACCTGTTGTACAGACCCTGGGGTATAAGTAAGACTTACCCTGCTGCTGACCACCTGACCTGAGTCACCTGTTGTACAGACCCTGGGGTATAAGTAAGACTTACCCTGCTGCCCGCCACCTGCACCTGACCAATTATCTCCCCATCCTCCTGACTAGATAAGCTGCTGGATTCAACTCTACCACTCCCCACAACATCCCTGAAAATAAGAGGCCCACGGGCCACATCGCTCACCTGAGAAGCTTTGAACATTCCGTTCTTTACCAGATTTCCCCCTTGTAATACATATTGTGACCCCACCCTACCCAACTGATCATAATTTAAACAATTTTAAATCTACACTACCATAGGATGCTTTGATTCAACATAGTAAAACTTTGATTCCCCATTGTGGCCCCGTCCTACCCCCAGGGGTCATGATTAGTATAATTTAGAATATACACTATCCCAGGATGCTTCCACATAAGTTTCAGTTTTTCTGGCCCAGTGGTTCTTGAGAAGAAGATTTTTCCTATATATTTCTATGCAAAACTTTGATTCCCCATTGTGGCACTGCCCAACCCCCGGGGATCATGATTTTAACAGTTTAGAATCTATACTACCCCAGGATGCTTACATATAAGTTTCAGCTTTTCTGGCTCAATGGTTCTTGAGAAGAAGATTTTCAAAGATTTTTCCTACATATTTCTATGTAAAACTTTGATCCCCCATTATGGCACCGCCCAACCCCTGGGGGTCATGACTTTAACAATTTAGAATCTACACTTAGTCTACCTTGGGATGCTTCCACATAAGTTTCGGCTTTTCTGGCCCAGTGGTTCTTGAGTAGAAGATTTTCAAAGATTTTCCCATATATCATTATGTAAAACTTTGATTCCCCATTGTGGCCCCACCCTACCCCCAGGGGTCATGATTTGAATAATTTAGAATCTGCACTACCCCAGGATGCTTCCATGTAAGTTTCAGCTTTTCTGGCCCAGTGGTTCTTGAGAAGATTTTTAAAGATTTTTCCTATATATTTCTATGTAAAACTTGGATTCCCCATTGTGGCCCCGCCCTATCCCCAGGGGTCATGATTTTAACAATTTAGAATCTGAACTACCTAAGGATGCTTCCACATAAGTTTCAGCTTATCTCGCCCTGTGATCTTGAGAAGATTTTTTTTTCTATATATTTCTATGTAAAACTTGGATTCCCCATTGTGGCCTCGTCCTACCCTCGGGGGTCATGATTCTAACAATTTAGAATCTGAACTACCTAAGGATGCTTCCACATATGTTTCAGCTTTTCTTGCCAAGTGGTTCTTGAGAAGAAGATTTTTAAAGATTTTTCCTATATATTTCTATGTAAAACTTTGATTCCCCATTGTGGCCCCGCCCTATCCCCGGGGGTCATGATTTTAACAATTTAGAATTTGCACTACCTTAGGATGCTTCCACATAAGTTTCGGCTTTTCTGGCCCAGTGGTTCTTGAGTAGAAAATTTTCAAAGATTTTCCCATATATCATTATGTAAAACTTTGATTCCCCATTGTGGCCCCGCCCTACCCCCCTGGGTCATGATTTGAATAATTTAGAATCTGCACTACCCCAGGATGCTTCCATGTAAGTTTCAGCTTTTCTGGCCCAGTGGTTCTTGAGAAGAAGATTTTTAAAGATTTTTCCTATATATTTCTATGTAAAACTTTGATTCCCCATTGTGGCCCCGCCCTATCCCCGGGGGTCATGATTTTAACAATTTAGAATCTGCACTACCTAAGGATGCTTCCACATAAGTTTCAGCTTTTCTGGCCCAGTGGTTCTTGAGAAGAAGATTTTTAAAGATTTTTCCTATATATTTCTATGTAAAACTTGGATTCCCCATTGTGGCCCCACCCTATCCCCGGGGATCATGATTTTAACAATTTAGAATCTGAACTACCTAAGGATGCTTCCACATAAGTTTCAGCTTTTCTGGCCAAGTGGTTCTTGAGAAGAAGATTTTTAAAGATTTTTCCTATATATTTCTATGTAAAACTTTGATCGGTCATTGTGGCCCCGCCCTATCCCCGGGGGTCATGATTTTAACAATTTAGAATCTACACTACCCCAGAATGCTTCCACATAAGTTTCAGCTTTTCTGGCCAAGTGGTTCTTGAGAAGAAGATTTTTTAATGACCCCACCCTATTTTTGTCTTTTCTTGATTATCTCCCCTTGTGAGGGGACTTGGCCCTTCATTTTCACAATTTAAATTTCCCTTCACCCAAGTATGCTTTGTACCAAGTTTGGTCAAAATTGGCCCACTGGTTCTTGAGAAGAAGTCGAAAATGTGAAAAGTTTACAGACGGACAGACGGACAGACGACGGACAAAATGTGATCAGAAAAGCTCACTTGAGCCTTCGGCTCAGGTGAGCTAATAATACATTATCTCTTATCTAAATCTGGAAATTTTACATGGAATTATTTTTTTTTCTTAATTTGGGTGAGTTAAATTGTTATGTTAATTTTTAAGGGCTTCTAAATTTTGCAATTTTTCATCATTGCTAAAAATAAAGAAATAAGGAAATAAAAATTCCAAGAAATTTTATCGATAATGCATATATATATACATGTACAATATATCCCAAAAAAATTTTCTATTAGTTGACGTAAAAATCAGTCCATAGTTTTTCCTTTCCCTTTGCATTTATTCAGAAAACTTATTTTAATTTAAGTCAGCCTGCTTTTGTAACTAGAATTTTATGTCTCTTCAATCCACACATAGTTAAGTTGACAAGATAAACAAAAGCAGCCTTTAGCATTTATGCAAATTATCCCCAAACATACTGATTGATCACATTATAAAACTAAAACACTAGACAGTACACACAAAGAAATTAAATAAATACCCTTCCTCCTTTATAACGTCCTCTATTTCTGTACGGAGGTGTGGGGGCAGTTGGCTAAAGACTTCACCATTCTTCATATCTGGATGGTTTCCAAGGTAACTCAAAACATTGTCCTAAAAAGGAACAAATGATCATCACAATATCATTACTTCCTTACATGAAGTGTAGTTATTTATTACCATCTGGCTTCAAACTAAACCACTTAGAATGTTCTGATATACAAAAGACATGCAAATTTCACATTTCAGAGATATTCATAAAACTTCTTTCTTGACTGGAACTAGTCAGAATACTAAGGAGGCACTTAAATTGTACCCTGAGAATTTTTTTCTGGAACTAGTCAGCAATACTAAGGAGGCCCTAACCTTGAGCACTTTTTTCTGAAACTAGTCAGCAATACTAAGGAAGTCCTTACCTTGAGTACTTTTTTCTGAAACTGGTCAGCAATACTAAGGAAGTCCTTACCTTGAGTACTTTTTTCTGAAACTGGTCAGCAATACTAAGGAAGTCCTTACCTTGAGTACTTTTTTCTGAAACTGGTCAGCAATACTGAGAAGGTACAAAGCCGTGTCACCATCTACATGGTGTAGTAAGATCTGCTCACACACCTGACCAAGGTTGTTCACCTGTAATATCAACAGCTGATTAAAGTAACATAATTATAAAATACCGGGAATATTTGCATGGTGAGATATAATATAGGATCTCCCATGATTAGTATTTGGATATGATTTTTATCCAACGAGTTGTTTTTTTTTATCTCCGAGCCTTGGCGAGCCAGTGCAAGTTTATTGTAAAATTCTTTGTAAACTGTATGAAAAAAAAATTCAGGAAAAAAACACTTAACAAATTTTAAAATGTAAATCTGTTATAATTCAAGCATTTCTCTATATTTATTTTCTGAATAAGCTCAATAAATTCAACTTTTTAATAATATATAGATGGATAGATATACTTCTTCCTTGTTCATGCAATAACTCAATTCAAGCTTTCAAAAAAATCACCTCATATCTATCTGCCAAGGTAAGTAACTCTGTAAGTTGATCGGTGGACAAAGACTCAGACTGAATAGCACCACTGTACAAAAACTCAATAAACATGCTGAAGATCTCGGGGTTTGTATCATGTATGGTTATTTTTCTGCAACAATTGTTCATTAAGAAATTAAAAAAGAAAAGAATTGCTTTCATTAAACAAAGAAGATTTTTTTTTACTTCTCAATTTAAAATCTGATAGAGAAATAGCCATATTTATTTTTTATTAAATTTTTTTTTCTCCAATAAAAATCACTTCATGCCAGTATTTATTTTCTGTCATAAATAAGAGAGCCACTATCTTATATTTAAAATATCTGTGGATTTTTTCCTTCATAGCCTCCCTCATCCCACTGAGTAAAGCCCTTGAGAATCCCTTACACCAGGCTTATGTTTCTCTTACTTGTCTATGGACTCCCTCATCCGACTGAGTAGAGCCCTTGAGAAATCCTTACACCACGCTTAAGTTTCTCTTACTTGTCTATGGACTCCTTCATCCCCCTGAGTAGAGCCCTTGAGAATCCCTTACACCAGGCTTATGTTTCTCTTACTTGTCTATAGACTCCCTTATCCCACTGAGTAAAGCCCTTGAGAATCCCTTACACCAGGCTTATGTTTCTCTTACTTGTCTATGGACTCCCTCATCCCACTCAGTAAAGCCCTTGAGAATCCCTTACACCAGGCTTATGTTTCTCTTACTTGTCTATGGACTCCCTCATCCCACTGAGTAGAGCCCTTGAGAATCCCTTACACCAGGCTTATGATTCTCTTACTTGTCTATGGACTCCCTTATCCCACTGAGTAAAGCCCTTGAGAATCCCTTACACCAGGCTTAAGTTTCTCTTACTTGTCTATAGACTCCTTCATCCCCCTGAGTAGAGCCCTTGAGAATCCCTTACACCAGGCTTATGTTTCTCTTACTTGTCTATGGACTCCCTTATCCCTCTGAGTAAAGCCCTTGAGAATCCCTTACACCAGGCTTAAGTTTCTCTTACTTGTCTATGGACTCCCTCATCCCACTCAGTAAAGCCCTTGAGAATCCCTTACACCAGGCTTATGTTTCTCTTACTTGTCTATGGACTCCCTCATCCCACTGAGTAAAGCCCTTGAGAATCCCTTACACCAGGCTTATGTTTCTCTTACTTGTCTATGGACTCCCTCATCCCACCGAGTAAAGCCCTTGAGAATCCCTTACACCAGGCTTATGTTTCTCTTACTTGTCTATGGACTCCCTCATCCCACTGAGTAAAGCCCTTGAGAATCCCTTACACCAGGCTTATGTTTCTCTTACTTGTCTATGGACTCCTTCATCACACTGAGTAGAGCCCTTGAGAATCCCTTACACCAGGCTTATGTTTCTCTTACTTGTCTATGGACTCCTTCATCACACTGAGTAGAGCCCTTGAGAATCCCTTACACCAGGCTTATGTTTCTCTTACTTGTCTATGGACTCCCTCATCCCACTCAGTAAAGCCCTTGAGAATCCCTTACACCAGGCTTGTTTTCTTACTTGTCTATGGACTCCCTCATCCCACTCAGTAAAGCCCTTGAGAATCCCTTACACCAGACTTATGTTTCTCTTACTTGTCTATGGACTCCCTCATCCCACTCAGTAAAGCTCTTGAGAATCCCTTACACCAGACTTATGTTTCTCTTACTTGTCTATGGACTCCCTCATCCCACTGAGTAGAGCCCGTGAGAACCAGTTACAGCGGGCTGCCAGGATGACACAGTGGGCGGGAATCTGATGGATTTCTACATCATGGTCATCCTCCTGTCTCTCAATAGGATCTCCATGAGTGTGGTCAATCACAATGTCTCCCATATCTAAAAGGCGTCAATCATAATAATCACAATTCCTTATTTTACATAAATATTTTAATCCTTGAAATAGAATTTTTAAATTGGAGCCCCCTAAAACTTACAAAGGGTCTTTCCTTATAAATAAAGATACATGTATGGAAACAACTTCCATTTTTAGAAGCTGCAATGTTTGATTATAAGTTATGTTAATGATTAGAAATCTTTGTAACAAGTCTGAAAGTAATATGCCAAAATGTGAGGTCAACTTTTAACTGACCTCGAACAAGAATGATTTCAAAGACCATGTCCGTATTCTGTTTCTTCCTGAATAACTCCAGCGCTTTCTGAGCTAGCATACATTTTTTGGATGGAGGAGGAATGCACAAAGATTCTACAGAACTTAACTGAAGTAGATAAAAATATTTATTAAGTTGCAATCATTCATAATAAGAAAACATCTAATTTCTATGTTTAAATTTTCCACAATAAATTTTCTAATTCATTAAAACATTAAAACTTCACTTGAAACTTTTTCTTGATATATGGATTTATAAAAAGCATTGTAAATGAAGCCTGTGTAACTGTTTTAAACATTAGATCTTACCATGACATACTTGGTGTCTACTATGCATGTAGTCTCTTACCCTGACATACTTGGTGTCTACTGTGGATGTAGTTACTTACCCTGACATACTTGGTGTCTATTGTGGATGTAGTCACTTACCCTGACATACTTGTTGTCTACTGTGGACATAGGCACTTACCCTGGCACACTTGTTGTCTACTGTGGATGTAGTCATTCGACATACTTGGTGTCTACCGTGGATGTAGTCACTTACCCTGGCATACTTGGTGTCTACTGTGTATGTAGTCATCCTGACATACATGGTGTCTACTGTGGATGTAGTCACTTACCCTGACATACTTGGTGTCTACACATACTTGGTGTCTATTGTGGATGTAGTCACTTACCCTGGCATACTTGGTGTTTACACATACTTGGTGTCTACTGTGGATGTAGTCACTTACCCTGGCATACTTGGTGTCTACTGTGGATGTAGTCACTTACCCTGACATACTTGGTGTCTACTGTGGATGTAGTCACTTACCCTGAGATACTTGGTGTCTACTGTGGATGTAGTCGCTTGGTGTCTACTGTAGATGTAGTCACTTACCCTGACATACTTGGTGTCTATTGTGGATGTAGTCATTTACCTTGGCATACTTGGTGTCTACTGTGGATGTAATCACCACTTACCCTGGCATACTTGGTGTCTACACATACTTGGTGTCTATTGTGGATGTAGTCACTTGGCATACTTGGTGTCTACACATACTTGGTGTCTATTGTGGATGTAGTCACTTACCCTGGCATACTTGGTGTCTACTGTGGATGTGGTCATATCTCCCTTGTCCCATAACCCCAGAGCTGCCACTGTGGCTGTGAATTCTTCTTTGTTGACCAGTTTTACCATCTGTTCTATACTACTGGAAAGTGTTGACTTGTAGCTGCGTAGCTTGTGTACACCCCATGCCTGCATAATGAATTTATCAGGTTTTCTCAATTTTCTTCTTCTAGTGCTACATGAGTTATGATTTCAGTCAAGATCCAAAGTTTGGCTTTGTAACCCCTAACATTTAGTATATGTACAATATAAGGAAATAAAAATACCTGTAATTTTTTCTACCATAAATAACTTACTATTTTAGAGGAACTCAGTTTAAACATATACTTCCATTCTTTCCATTTGTATTTTTCCTCTAAAACTAGAGCTAAGTGCTGCATGCGGTCAACAAACAGAGGAGCCTACAATATAAAGCATCAAGGTACATGAATAAATGCACTGAAATCTATCAAGCTCAGTACAGAAGTAAAACTTAACCTTATGCCCATGGGTCACAGTGCTAACCTGAGTCAGCAATTCTTTAAATGTATAAGAAAGTAAAAGTAACATCTTGTCATCTCTAACAAAATCCATGAAGTTAATAATATTAATTTTAAGTATATTTTAGACTCTTGATATTTTAATATTCCTTTGAATTTAACTGGAATTCACAGATTTCGCTATTAAAAAATTAAGATAAATATTCATATCTTTTAAAAATTCCTATTAAGAGAAAATTGAATTGTTTTTTTTTTTCAAAGAAAATGACAAAAGTGTGTTTTTCAAGTGCAGTGACACTATCAATGTACTGATATATGTGTAGCCTGTTTACCTGCCCTTTCAATTTATGAGGGAGGGGGTTCAAAATATTATGGCCATAAAATATTGACTCCCCCTGATCTTCTTATTTATGAGTGAGGGGGGTTCAAAATATTATGGCCATAAAATATCGACTCCCCCTGCCCCTTAAATTTTAGACAGAGGGGGGTTCAAAATATTATGACCATAAAATATTGAGTCCCCCTGCCCCTTAAATTTTAGACAGAGGGGGGGTTCAAAATATTATGGCCATAAAATATTGAGTCCACTTCCCTTTTAGTTTATGAGGGAGGGGGTTCATAATATTATGGCCATAAAATATTGACTCCCCCTGACCTTCTTATTTATAAGGAAGGGGGTTCAAAATATTATGGCCATAAAATACTGAGTCCCCCTGCCCCTTAAATTTTAGAGGGAGGGGGGTTCAAAATATTATGGCCATAAAATATCGACTCCCCCTGCCCTTTTAATTTATGAAGGAGGGGGGTTCAAAATATTATGGCCATAAAATATTGAGTCCCCTGCCCCTTAAATTTTTGACAGAGGGGGGTTCAAAATATTGTGACCATAAAATATTGAGTCCCCCTGCCCTTTTCAATTTAAGAGGGAGGGGGGTTCATTGCAAATCTTATGGCCATAAAATAGACTCCCCCTGCCCTTTTAATTTATGAAGGAGGGGGGTTCAAATCTTATGGTCATAAAATATCGACTCCCCCTGTCTTTTAAATTTTAGACAGAGGGGGGTTCAAAATATTATGACCATAAAATATTGAGTCCCTGCCCTTTCAATTTAAGAGGAGGGTCAAAATATTATGGCAATAAAATATTAGCTCCCCCTGCCCTTATAAGTTTATGAAGGAGAGAGGTTCAAAATATTATGGCCATGGTATCAACTCCCCTGCCCTTTTTAATTTTCAGAGAGGGATGGGTGTGGGTCAAAATATTATGGCCATAAAATATTGAGTCCCCCTGCCCTTTTAATTTTATAAGGAGGGGGGTTCAAAATATTATGGCCACAAAATATTGAGTCCCCTAGCCTTTGTTTTATGAAAGAGGGAGGTTCAAAATATGATGGCCATAAAATATAGAGTCCCTCTGTCTTTTAATTTGTGAAGGAGGCGGTTCAAAATATCATGGCCATAAAATATAGAGTCCCCTTCCCTTTAATTTTAGAGGGAGAGTGAAGCGAAGGGATTCAAGATATTATGATAAAAAAATTGATGATTTTATTGTACATGTATGGATGGGTTTCATGTTGAGTGTGATAATGATTGCCTTATATTGGATTTCTGTTACATTTTTGGTGGGATTTTAAATATCTTGGCTGTAAAATATTGACCATGTCTTACCCAGGAGCAGAGAAGAATGATTTTAAAAGAATATATGCATTTCCACATATAAACAATAGAGCCCCCAACACCAGACCCTCACCCCATGGGCTATGAAATTCACAGTTTTAGGAGAGGCATTTACTAAGGAGTTTATATGAATGAGTTTATTGATCAAAATGAGTTTACTCAGGTGACCTAAAAATGGATAAAGATGAAAATGATAAATCTCTCACCCAATATGTGTATTGTGTATGTACATTAGCTTTCATATGATATTTATGTTTCTTTTTAACCAACGAAAATGCAAAATAAAGATAAGTAAGGCAAAGGTCACAGGTGAAAGGTCAAAAGTTGAAAAATGGAAATGGAAAAATGGAAATCTTCAAGGTTAAGGTCCAAAGGTCAAGGTAATGTGGTATCCAATGAAAGGTCTTGCCACAAAGAATGCATGTGTGAAGTATGGAAACCATAGTCCTAACCCTTCAACAGTTATTGGCAAGGTTAAAAATTTTTTAAGTAGGTCAAACTCAAGGTCAAGGACAAAGGGTCAAATTTCTAGATATTAAGTGAAAGGTCTTTTCACAAGGATTAAATATTTTAAGTGTGAAAGCACTAACCTTAACCCTTTAAAAAGTATGGTCAAGGTTTGCTTCTTAAAAGTAGGTCAAACTCCAAGGTCAAAGTTCTTGGTGTCTACTGAAGGGTCTTCTGACAAGGATTTAATATTTGAAGTTTGACAGCACTAGCCAAAAGTTATGGCCAAGATTAAGTTTTTTCATAAGTAATGAAATCTCCAAGGTCAAAAGGTCAAGGTTGTTGGTATCCAATGAAAGGTCTTGTCACATAGATTACATATATGAAGTATAATAGTCTTGGTTTATACTGTTCAAAAGATATGGCCAAACTAAATGTTTGAATTTTTGTTTAAAAGTGGGTCAAACTACAAGGTTGGGTCAAAGGTCTAAGGACTAAATATGATAAGAACCAATTTTGGCCCCTAAAAAAATCAACATTTTGGAATGATATTTAGATTTGTTTCAATTGATATTTATTTTGTAGATGAGATTATTTTAGAAATATTTCCAAAACATTTTTCATATTAATACGCACTCACTGGCTGTAAATGACATTAGAAGTAATGCTATTATTTGCTATCTAACATAAAAAGCCAAAAACATGCCTTTTTCTTGGTGTTTTTTTTCTTATGGGAAACATAGAGCACAGTGTAGAACATACATACCTTTTCTGTCACTAATTAGTATTGATTAAATACATCTTTGGTAATAATATAAAGTTTGTTCCTAGGCTGCGCTCTATACTCTTTAGGAAGAAGAAACTGCTTGAAAATCAGCAGTTTTATACAAAATATGCTAAAATGGGGGAAAACATGAAGTTCATGATGTCATATTTCTAAAATAATGGCATTTTTATCCAAATTGAAAATGAGAAAATAAAGGTCCATGTATAGCTGTACAAATTAAAGCTATAATAAAGTAAAATTTAGATTCCCATTTTAAGGGGCCATATGAGACAATTATCATATATTGCTTCTTGGTGGTACCCATGATCTTGTCATAAGGAATACACAAATGAAATATGAACTTCAAAGTCATAGCTCCACTAAATCAAAATTTATGGACAAAAGTTATGGGCAAATTAAAGTTTTTGTGGACAAACAGACAGACGACCGACACAATAAAGAATGTATACTCTCAAAACTTCAGGGGCATAAAAAGATAATCAATAGAATAAGTAGTTGAGCACTAATGGTATCAAATAATAAATCTTAGAGTAGACCTACATGTACTATATTTACTTGCCCGACTTGCCATCATTTTTCACAATCCAAGGTTATTATTGATGACTAATTTATTTGCTACAGCTAGTGTACCACATTTTGACTAGGTCCTTAAAATTTCTATAACTAACAAACGAGAGACCATTATAAATAGACTTTGTGTAAAAGAGGCGAATAGAATGTTTTAGCAATGGACATTGTTTTTTCTTTGTCAATTTTTTTCAGTAAGCACATGTGCAAATGAAATTTTTAATTGTGTGCAAGACAACTAGAACAATCAGAGATATTTTAATTTTCTTTGAATATATTACTTCTTTAAGTTATTTCATAAAATTGCAATAAGAATCCATAAATGGCTTGGAAAATGAAAATTTAAAAACATTGAAATGACCATGACCTTGACTGAAATTCCAGGTCAAAGGTCTAGGATCATGTTGCAAATGCCTATATGATTTTAACTTTTAAAGATAGAAGGGTTTATATTAAGGTAGGACACATTTTTCCTCAAATTCAATTTTTCTGAAACTTTCACATTTTGTTCTAGAATACAAAATCTCTCTTAATATATAATATGAAAGAAATTCAACTGCACATATTTTGCCCACATAGTCTGAAATATGGCCTATCAGACCCCTGTAAGAAGATTGTGAAATCAGACATTCGACTTAAGAATGAACCTTATTTTAGAATTATCAATTGATCTATTGCAAAGTTGTGTAATACTTTTAATAAAGATAACCTTTTTGTTACTTTAAATCAGTAAGTCAAATTGATACTGAAAAGTTTGAGTAAAATATTAAGTAAAAATAGAACATACATAGCGTCTGAATTGAAAATTCATATGAAAATATCCGACAGTTTAAGTTTTTTAACAGAAAATGTGTAATTCAATTTATGAAAAAAATAAACCGAATGATTCAAATTGGTACTTAAAGACAATGTGTGAAAATAAAGAAAATTGAACCAGTGGTTTCAGATATTTTGCTTAATAAAAGAATTTCAATGGTATCAAAACTAAAAGATTCAGTAGATGACGTCACAATATTTGACCTTTGACCTCTTGATATGACCTTGACCTTTGTAGTACATAAAGAATGGAGAATGGTAAAAATAGAAATTTTGTTTTAAAGATATAGAATTATATATGTATATGTAAAGAGATTTTCTTTTGTGCAGGAAACGATTTCTGGTTTGCATTTCAGAATTTATGCCAACCAAAGCTCGTGTGATCCCAACCCATGAAAGTGATTCAATTTAATTTATAAGAGTGAAGAGAGTAATTATACTCCAAGCCAAAAGTGTTTAAAATATTTTTCCTATGAAATACATTCAAAAGAAAAACTGACATTCAAAAACCCCCAAACTTACTTCTCCTACATGTGTCAAGTAATTAGAAAGTGGTTGAATTGTTGGTACCATTGGGAGGGTTGTATTGCAAATATATATGTAGCATTCATAAAAGAATACATAAATA